TCAGGCTGCCCAGAAGTGGGTCAAATTTTCTTCAGTATCTGATGGCTTCAACTCTGATAGTACTAGTCACCATGGTGGAAAAATACCCAGAAAATTAGCAAATCATGTGGTGGATAGAGTTTGGCAAGAATGCAATATGAACAGAGCACAGAACAAGTATGTATTTTTATTTTCAAGTTAAAAATCGCATGTTGGTAATTACTTGTTATAAGAGTTTATATTTACAGTATAGTCATTTGTATTACTTCAAAATTTTTAAAGTTAATTTTGGGCCAGGAGGTAGTGTAGTGGTTAAAGGACTTGATTCCCATATGACTGACTGCAGTTTGCATCCTGGATCTGGTGGCTTGAAAATCATTCCAGGCATGTGCTCGTGCATGCCCACAATCCCAGGAGGATAATGAAGGAGATGGGATTGCAGTGTGGCCATCTACCCTGGGGGGTGATTTCTCACTTTCCCTCTCACTGTTTGTCTTTCTCCTCTCCAGCAAGCACATGTCCCCTACATCAAAAACCTTTTTAAAATTTTAATTTTAATGCTAAATTTAGGTTTAACATAACATTTTTATGAATTTAAAAGAATTTTATAATTTCAAATTTTAGGAGGAAGTACTCTGCTTCATCAGGTGGTCTATGCGAAGAAGAGATTGCTAATAAAATGGCGTCCTGGGATTTTGTTGAAGCCACACAAAGAACAAATTGCAGTTGTTTGAGGTAGATTTTTTTCAGATTAATAAATTTCTGTGTGTGTATGTTTGTAATAGTTGTATATGCCCCAATTTGTTCAAGGTAACTAATGTAAATGTAGTATATTAGGAGTTTTTTGTTGTTTTTTTTTTTTAAAGAAAAAATTATAGTTAAAGAAACAATTTGAAAAACTAGTAAGAGAAGTGTGTATAAACACATGCCTTGATTTTTTTTTCCCCCCCTTACTGCCAGAGGCTGTGAGTGCTTGCCAGAGAGAGAGAGAGAAAAACAACCCCAGTGTGGCATGGTCATACTATAATCCCTTTTCCTCCATTTCTTCATCCTGCTCTATTTTGGGCACACACATGCCTGGCATGTTTTTCAAGCTACCAGTGCCGGGATTCTAACCATGGTAAACCGCGTGGGATCTGGCTCCCTTAACCACTAGGCAATAGGGCAGCCCTTGCTTTGAGGTTTTCATAGTATTGGCATTAAACTGTGAAAGCTTTGTTTCCTAGAAGCCAAATAGAAGGATTTTATATTGGGTATTGGGTAAATAGCATCTGTATACTGTAGAAAGCACCCAAATGTCTTTGAGAAGCATTTAGTAATGGTATTGTACCAGAAATTTCTCCCTAGGGCTCTTAGAAAAGAGGTGAGGGGCCAGCCAGGCACCATGGTACTTAAGGTGGTTGGATCCCACATTGCCGACTGTTCAATTCAAGTCCTAGACCCACTGACCTGAAAAACACACCAGGCACTCAGAGTGCATCCCCAAAATCCTGAGAGGAGAAGGAAAAGAGATTGTAGCATGATCATCTTCCCAGAGGGTACTTTCTCACTCACTCTCTCTGTCTTGCTCCTGTAAGTTTATGTGCCCTGTAAGAAAATTTTTTAAAAAAGGCTAAATATGATACACTATGTAAAAATTTCTACAAATTCTATTTATAGTAAATACAGTGTTGGGTTTTGTACAACAATTTCTTAGACCATTCTTTGGGCAGCTATAGGTGAAATGCTGAAAAACATTCAGAAAATATGATTCTACAATGGATGATAGCTGTCCCATTAAATACAAGCTTTCTGGGGACCAGCAGGTGGCGTGGCAGTTAAGGTGCTGGACACTCCCACATGGCCAACCACAGTTCAAGTCCTGGACCTGGTGGCTTGTTTTCTCACTTTCCTCTCTCTCTGTGTGTCTTTCTCTGGTCAAATTAAAATGAATGAATGATGGGGAACCAGCAGTTAGCGTAATGGCTATGTCGCTGGACTCCCACGTAGTCGACCATGGTTCGCGTCCCAGACCCAGTGGCTTGAAACTCACACCGGGCGCGTGTGCGTGCGTGCCCAAGATCCTGAGAGGAGAATGGAGGAGAAGGAAGTGCGGCGTGGCCATCCCCCCTGGGGGGGGATTTCTCGCTTTCTGTCTCTATGTCTCTCTCTGTCTGTCTGGCGAGCGCACGTGCCCTACAGTGAAAATCTCTCCAAAAAAAAAAAAAAGAATGAATGATTAATAAATAAATAAATCTTAAAAAAAATACAAGATTTCTAAAGGTCTGTTTTATTAAAAGATTGGGAGAAGTAGGGACGATAGGCAATTGTGTTAGGTTGTTCCAAGTATCAGGACATATTTTTCTATGCTTTTATATGTGAAAATACATCATGATCCAATATTTATTTTATATATCGGGGACTTTTGATGAGATTTGGTTATCCGAGGCTTTAAGAATATAATGCCTAGGGGTGACGTGGTAGTTAAAGGTGCTGAAAATCATTCCAGACACGTGCTCGTGCATGCCCACAATCCCAGGAGGATAATGAAGGAGATGGGATTGCAGTGTGGCCATCCACCCTGAGGGGTGGATGACTCCCACATGGCCAACCGCAGTTCGACTCCTGGGCCTGGTGACTTGATTTCCCACTTTCCCTTTCTTTCTTTCTCTGTCTCTCTCTGATCAAACTGGAAAATAATAATAGATAAAGTTAAATACAATAATTCTTTTTTTTTTTTTTTAAAGAAGCACTGATCTATATTATGTATCAGTGAGACACTAAAGACCCTTTCAGACTTGGTCCCAGGAAAAGAGCCCTAGACTGAAAGTCCATTTCAGCCATGAGACACAGTGACTCTGAAGAGTACACATCTCATAATTACAGAAGAGGAGACTGTGGTCCTAAGAATACACTGTGTGATTGTCATTGTGGGTTCCAGTTCAGTCCAGGTCTTGGATTATCTTGGCCAATGCCCAGCAACATAGCCATTACGCTAACTGCTGGTTCCCTATACAATAATTCTTTTTAAACAAGATTGCCTAGAGTTTATTTTACTCTACAGGTTAAAGATAGACCATATGTTTCTTCATTACGCTAACTGCTGGTTCCCTATACAATAATTCTTTTTAAACAAGATTGCCTAGAGTTTATTTTACTCTACAGGTTAAAGATAGACCATATGTTTCTTATTTATTTATTTATTTTAGGGTTTTTTTGTTGTTTTTTTTTTTTTTTTTTGCCATGGGGCACGTGTACTCGCCAGAGATAGAGAAAGAGAGAGAGAGAGAGAGAGAGAGAGAGAAATTACCCCTCAGAGGAAAGGGCTACGCCATAATCCAGCCTCCTGGGATTTTGAGCATGTGCATACATGTACTTGGCGTGAATTTCAAGCCACTGGGTCTGGGACTTGAACCACGGCCAGCCTTGCAGGAATCTGGTGCCTTAACCACCACACCACCTGCTGGCCCCATAGACTTTATACTTTTATAGCCAAGTAAATAATCATGACCTTGACAGCCATAGCCAGGATATTTGTGAGGGTAGAAAGCTACTCCTCTTTCTCATAGAAGTATGTAAAAGGAATGGAGTGCCTTTAGATTAGGGTAAAGGTTTTGTATATAGTAACGGTTTTCCTTTTTTCTTTTCTTTTCTTGATTTTTTTTTTTTTTGAGAGGTTTTTGCTATAGGGTATGTGTACTTGCCAGGAAGAGAGAGAGAGACGGAGAGATAGAAAGCTAAAGATCACCCCCGAGGGGGATGGCCACACCGCAATCCCTTCTCGTCATCCATTCTCCTCTCGGGATCTTGGGCACACACACACATGTGCCCAGTCTGAGTTTAAGCCACCAGGTTCGGGACTCGAACCACATTCAGCTACATGGGAGCTCAGCAACATAGCCATTACGCTAACTGCTGGTCCCGTAACTCCTTTCTTTAAATACAGTCATAAATTCTCAAGTGTCGTGGTATATTTTTACATAGATTGAATGTTCTTACATAGGGTCTTTGGATTAAAGGGTATATGATTTTGTAGTCTGACAGAACCTTAGTATGAAAACTTGCCTGTCTTTTTTATAGGAATTGGAATAAAAATATGGATATATTAGCTTCTATTACCAGCTTAAGATAGTTAAAAACATAATTTTGACATAATTGTGTAAAGCCAAGAGTTTGCAAAATATGATCAATTGGCCAGATTTGGTTCACTGCCTATTTTATATACCCTATGAGCTAGAAATCATTTTTACATTTTAAAGAATTGAAAAATTAAAAAAGAATGTTTTGCGGTATAGGAAAGTTATGTGAAATTTAAATTTAGTGTCCATAGATAAGGATTTATTGGAACATAAGCCTATCTGTTCAGTTACATGTTCTCTGTGATTGCTTTTGCTCACAATGACAAGAGTTAAGTCATTGTGCCACATCTATATGGCCTTTAAGGGCCTAAAATATTTACTAGCTAGTCTCTCTTTTTTTAATATAGAATTTTTAAATTATTTATTTAATTTTATTTACTTTTCCTCTTCTTCAGTTTGACCAGAGAGAAAGTCACCAGGTCTAGGACTCAAACCATGGTTGAGCATGTGGAAGTCCAGCACTTTAGCTACCATGCCACCTGCTGGCTCTACTAGCTAGTATCTTACAGGAAAAGTTTGTAAATAGAAAAAGGTTGCCAATTCTATTGGTCTAAGATCAATAGAATGCTTAAATGAAACTGAGCTTTCCCTATATCGGCATTTTAAAAAAAGAGAGAGAGAGAGAGAATTACTGAGACCAGCAGACTGTGTAAAGGTTACATCCCTGGACTCCCACGTAGTCGTCTGCAGTTTAAAACCCAGCAGCTTAAACTCACACATTTGGCATACTGAAATATTATATAATCTATACATGTGACTTGCATTGGTCAGTTTTCTGCTTTGGAAAATAAGGAAGGTTTTCTGACTACTTACCTTTTTTCCCCCAGTTACTCTTGCATTTCGTACTACAGGTTATTTCTCCCTCAACCCCAAATCTGATTTCTATTTAATTTTTTTTTCTTTTTAAATATGGAACACTTCATGAATTTGCATGTCGTCCTTGAACAGGGGCCATGCCAATCTTCTCTGTTTCGTTCCAATTCTAGTATATGCATTGCCAAACCAAGCACTCTATGTAATTCTTTTTTTTTTTTTAAGAATTATTTTATTTAACTTTATTTCTTTATTTTTAATTTGACCAGAGAGGGACAGAGAGAGAAAGAGAGAGAGAAAGTGAGAAAGCAAACCACCATGTTTGGGACTTGAACCACAGTCTGCCATGTGGGAGTCCAGCGCCCTAAACCACCATGCCACCTGCTGGCCCCTCTATGTAATTCTTAAATGAAGATTCCTATTTAATTCTAGATGACTTTGAGCTACCACATATTGTGTAGCTTCTGTCATATGAGTGAGGTAGGGCACACATTGATAACTGTCAGGCTCTGGTTTGCTTTTAGATCTAATACTACCATTCCCCTGTTCTGTTCTGTTCTGTTCTGTTCCGTATTGCAGGCATATTTCCTAGGCTCTCTTATTTTCTCGGTTTGGGTAATAATAGGCACTAACAGAATTGGAAGGTGAGAGGAGGAAAGAAACTAGATGGGACCAGCAGTTGGCATAATGGCTATGTTGCTGGCCTCCCATGTACTCAGCCGGGCACATTTGCATGCATGTCCAAGATCCTGAGAAGAGAATGGGGGAGAAGGGATTGTGGTGTGGCCATCCCCCTGGGGGGTGATTTCTCGCTTTCTCTCTGTCTCTCTCTGTCTTTCTGGTGAGTGCACATGCCCTATAGCAAAAACCTCTCAAAAAAAAAAAAGAAAGAAAGAAAATAGAAACCAGAGTATTTCCTTAGCCCGTTTTTGAGCCAGTTCCACGAGCAGCTCTTTTCTGTCCCACTAACATCTTCCATTCTCTATGATCTCAGATACCACTGGGGGCAGGTCCTGCTTTGGTTCTACCACCATCACAAGGCTCTGGGATATGATGAAACTATTTTATCTTATTGTTCTTTCAGTCCTAGAAGTCTTAGAAGCTACTTGCTGTTACTAGTCGTTGGGTTACCTCACTTTCTTCTGTATTATGTAACCTATGCTCTAAAGTAAATTTCCCCTATGTGACAGGATGGACTCTATATGAAAAATAGAACTGATAATACTAGCTTCTTTTTAAAAGTTACTTGAAAAAAGTTTTATAATTATACAAGCAACTTGGTTGAATATTTATCATTTTAAGAAATGTAAACTATTCAAATAAAGCCAACTTTCTCTTGACAGTTCTCTCCTTCCCCAAATCCTGCATCCTCTCCCTAGAGGTGGCTTATTGCCAATTAATTTTTTTTTTTTTTGAAGATTTTGCTATAGGGCATGTGTGCTCCCCAGGAAGACAGAGAGACAGAAAGCGAGAAATCACTCCCCAGGGGGAATGCCCATGCCACAGTCTCTTCTCCATTCCCCTCTTGGGATCTTGGGCACGCATGCACACATGCCCAGCATAAGTTTAAGCCACCGAGTCCAGGACTCGAACTGCGGTCCACTACATGAGAGTCCAATGATGTAGCCATTATGCTATCTGCCGGTATCCACCAATTAAATATTACTCTTCCAGCTTTAGGCCAGAACTGCCATCTTCCAATAATTAACCAAAATGACAAACAAAAGAGGAGAGAGACCAGATATATGTTCTCTTAGCCTTTTAGAAAACATGGAGTGGTTCCTTTGGCAACATATATGAAAACTTACAAGAAAGGTGATATTGTAGACATCAAGGGAATGGATACTATTCAAAAAGGAATGCCCCACAAATGTTACCATGGCAAAACTGGAAGAGTCTACAGTGTTTAACCAGCATGCTGTTGATATTGTTGTAAACAAGTTAAGGGTGAGATTCTTGCCAAAAGAATTAATGTGTGTGTTGAGCATATTAACCATTCTAATAGCAGAGATAGCTTCCTGAAGTGTGTGAAGGAGAATGACCAGAAAAAGAAAGAAGCCAAAGAGAAAAGGTACCTGGGTTTAACTGAAGCGCCAGCCTGCTCCACCCAGAGAAGCACACTTTGTGAGAACCAATGGAAAGGAGCCTGAGCTTCTGGAACCTATTTTCTATGAAGTCATGGCATAATGGGTTTTAAAAATAAACAAATCTATGGTCTATAAAAAATTATCCTTCCATACTTTTTCCTGTAATTTTGTATGTATACGTGTTTTTCTCTGAACACATAAATATTATTCTTTTTTTTTTTTTTTGGAGAGGTTTTCGCTATAGGGCATGTGCGCTCGCCAGACAGACAGAGACATAGAGACAGAAAGTGAGAAATCACCCCCCAGGGGGGATGGTCACGCCGCAATCCCTTCTCCTCCATTCTCCTCTCGGGATCTTAGGCACGCACGCAAACGCGCCCGGCATGAGTTTTAAGCCACTGGGTCCAGGACGCGAACCGCGGTCGACCACGTGGGAATCCAGCGACATAGTCATTACGCTAACTGCTGGTTCCCATAAATATTATTCTGATGTATCCAGCAGCTTAGTTTTTCCATTTAATGTGCCTAGATCTTTCCAGCATAGTTCCTTGTAGATCTGCCCCATTGTTTGAGAAAACTTCTTGGTATTCCACTGAATGGAAGTATCATAGTTTATATCATCTTAATGGGTTTGATAGACATCTAGGTTGCTTCCAAAAGTGTTTTTTTTTTTTTTAGAGGTGTGTGTGTGCACACGCTCGTGCTTGCTTATGTTTACTTTTTTTTAGAAACAATGTTGCCATGGCTATCATTTATTAGATTTTTTTTTTAACAGTTTTACTCTGTGATAGGAAATGTCCTATGCTCAGAGTACAGTAGCTAACAAGGCTCTAATATTTTGAAGCTTGCCCTTAAATGGGCATGAGGCATATCATTTGTGTTTAAAATGCTTTTAAATCTTTTTTAAGTTTAAGAGTGGTTAGTGCTCAGGAGGAAACAAACTAAGTAGGTGATGTGATAGTTATGGGCAAGAGGGCTTCCTTAATACTTATGACTTCAAAAAGATCCTCCCAATTTTATTCCCACTTTTTGCATATAAAGAATGTTTTTTGTTTGTTTGTTTTTGAGAGATTTTTGCTATAGGGTACGTGCGCTCGCCAGACATACAGAGACAGAGAGATAGAAAGCGAGAAATCACCTCCCCCCCCGGGGGGATGGCCATGCCGCAACCCCTTCTCCTTCATTCTCCTCTTGGGATCTTGGACATGCATGCCCACGCGCCCAGCATGAGTCTTAAGCCACTGGAATGCGAACCATGGTCGACTACATGGGAGTCCAGCGACATAGCCATTATGCTAACTGCTGGTCCCAAGAATGTTGGTTTTTCCTGTGCTTTTATTGATGTGAGAACTATTCTCAAAATTGTTTTTTCATAATAGTAAATGAAAAGCATAAAATTATCTCGGTTGGATTTGTCATTACTGACATTGAGTACATGCATTCATAATAGACTTTAGTATAATGTCCAAAGAAAATTGTTCTTAGAAAGTAAGCTACTTAAGTAAAAGTAATACATTAAATTTCAAATGTTAACACTACAGTACCAGGAACTTAATGAATAGGAAAGAAGAATATAAAGAGATCACTGTTGGGACCAGCAGTTAGTGTAATGGCTTAGAGGACATGTCCTCTTCTCCAACTTGGTTGAGTTCTAATATAAAATTTAGTTCTCTTTAAAGAAACCTGGCTCTCAGAAAGAAGTCTGTATAGAAGAAAAGAACTTTGATTTGAAGTTATCAAAAATTAAAAGCCACTGCTATTAGTATATGGTGCCACTTAATCATTTCTTACTCTTATTTGTGGGTAAGTGAATGTGTGGCTGTTTACTTTTCTTGAATACTTAGGATATAATCAAGTAGTTTATCTCAAGTTAATCGAGATCCTGTCTCTCCTTATTGCCTTGCTTAAAATAGACTAGCTTCACATTTTTTTAGTCTCAAAACTTATTTACAGTCTTAAAAAATGTTGAGGACTGGAGACCAGCAGTTGGCGTAATGGCTATGTTGCTGGACTTCCATGGAGTCGACCACAGTTGGAGTTCCACACCTGGTGGCTTAAACTCATGCTGAGCATATGTGCGTGTGTGCTCAAGATCCCGAGAGGAGAATGGAGAAGGAATTGTGGTGTGGCCATCCCCCCTGGGGAGTGATTTCTCATTTTCTGCTTCTCTGTCTATCTCTGTCTTTCTGGCAAGTGCACGTGCCCTATAGCTAAAACCTCCCCCCCCCAAAAAAAAAAATGTTGAGGACCAAAAAGTGCTTTTGTTTATGTGGACTACATTTACTGTTAGTTTAGCAAAATTTTAAAGTACTACTTAATGTATGAAAAAATAACAGTAAATCCAGTACACATTAAATATTAATAAAATTTAGACACCAGCTATATTTTCCTTTTAAGAGATTTTTTTTTTGAGAGGTTTTTGCTATAGGGCGTGTGTGTTCACAGACAGACAAAGACAGAAAGTGAGAAATCACCCCCCAGGAGGGATGGCCACGCCACAATCCCCTCTCCTCCATTCTCCTCTTGGGTACGCACACACACGCGCCCGGCGTGAGTTTAAGCCACCGGGTCCAGGACGTGAATCGCGGTCGATTACGTGGGAGTCCAGCAACATAGCCATTATGCTAACTGCTGGTCCTTTAAGAGATTTTTTGGCTGTAGGGCACGTGTACTTGCCGGAAAGACACAGAGAGACAGAAAGTGAGAAATCACCCCCAAGGGGGATTGCCACACTGCATTCCCTTCTCCATTCTGCTTTTGGGATCTTGGGCATAAATGCACATGTACCCAGCATGAGTTTCAGCCATCAGGCCCAGGACTTAACCTGCAGTCGACTGCGTGGGAGTCCAGCCACATAACCATTACGGCATTTGCTGTTTCCTCACCAGGTGTATATTTTAAAACAGCAGAAAATTAGTTGAGTGACATTATAGTTTTGCAAATTTCTTCAATGTTGAGCATTAGCTAGTGGGATTCTCATATCTACTTCTGTATTTAGCCTTTACTCTATTGTCTTGGATGAAGCATAAGTATGAAGCATAAGAAGATCCACCCTTAGGATCAGCAGATGGTGTAATGGTTACATTGCTGGACTCACACATAGGATGA